GGGGTCGAGTCCCCATCCCTGGAGGTATTTAAAAGAAGGCTAGATGAGGTGCTTAGGGACAGGGTTTAGTGGTGGGATGGTAGGGTTAGGTTAAAAGTTGGACTTGATGATCTTAAAGGTCTTTTCCAACCAAAGTGATTCTATGATTCTAGTCTATGATTCTATGACTTGAAAGAGAACTTAATTTCAGTACACAGAGCTGTTTAGGAAGTTGATGCGAGCAGTCGTGTGGCGGGGAGAGGCAGCCGCCTGTGGGTGTAGTACCTAGCACGTCTTGGGAAATCTGCAGGTTGGATCGTTACTCCAGGCTGATTAAATACCTTTTCCCTGTTGTTTTTAGGGAACCTGGAATGGTTAGATAAGAACAAAACCAGTTTTCTCATCATGTGGAGGAGACCGGAAGAATGGGGAAAGCTCATCTATCAGTGGGTGAGAACGTAGCAGCTGTCTCGCCCCACAGACCAGGCTTTCTGTATCCAGGAGGACAGGAGGAATTGGCTGTGATTTGTGAAAAAGACCACTGTAATATTTTTCTTTTGCTTCCCTGCTGCTTTTACCTTTCTGCTTCCATTTCTCTCTGTTGCAGAGAAGCGTAGAGATAGTAACAGCTTTTTACGTGCTGTAAGAAGCAGCTTGAGCAGTGGATGCAGTCGTCCGCTCCCACTGCGCTTGGCTGTTCCCTAGTGAGGACAGAGCAGCGTTGCTGCATTGCCTTCATATGGCACGAGTCCTTATTGCAAAACACATGGGCAGAAGGAGGAGAGAGGCAGGGAAAGGAACCATCTGAGTTTCCTTAGGTGTCATTTCTTGACAATCCAGTGCCCCAGAGCATTTCCAGGGTATTTTTGCTCATCGAATGCTGTCCACGTTCCATTTCACTTGCACTGAAATGTATGAGAGGTCATGCTGAGGATGTTAAATCACGCGGATGAGATTTGCTATATTGCTTTTATGTTTCCAGGTGTCGAAGAACGGCTTGACCAACTCTGTGTTCACGCTGTATGAATTAACCAGTGGAGATGATACAGAGAATGAAGGTAGTAATGTCATGTGTCATGTTCTGGAGCAGGTTTTCAGAGCGCACTTGATCTGAGCGCGTAAACAGTTGATTGTCAGATTATAGTTCTGTAGATTAAATATTTTAAGATTGCTTATGCAAGCTCACACTGATCACCACTGACAAATGCCGCTCTGAAGGCTTTTTTACCACTTTACATGAACATCTCCATTTATTGTCACTGTTTGCATTTTAACCCCTCCTCCGCCCCACAAGCCTCCCTAGTGCCCCCCTCTTTATCCGGCGTGAGGTGTGGGGTGTTTTGTTTTTATACCTGGCTTCTGTGCTGCCTTTGAGGCTGCTGTGACTCATTCCCTTCTGCCTGTTGACCTTCAGGCTTTGTTCCTGATGCAGCAATGTAGTGATGAGTCTGTCAGTGTAGCCGTGACTCTGGATTTGCCGTAGTCTTACGGCGCTGGAGTCGGAAAGGTGCTCTTGAGAGCCCTCTGCTTCGCTACCACCAGTCCCTGGACTTTGTAAGCCTGTTTGTTGCCTGATGTGATTTTTTTTTTTTCCCCCCCCTGTTGATGGGGATCTCTGTCCTTCCCCAGAATTCCACGGCTTAGATGAGCCTATGCTGCTCCGTGCCCTGCAAGCCTTGCAGCAAGAGCACAAAGCTGAAATTATCACACTGGATGATGGCCGAGGCGTCAAGTTCTTCTGATGGGAGCCACCTCCCCTCCCCTCTTCCCTGGCTGCTGAAGCAGTTCTCGCTGTGAAGGTTCACTCTCCTGGCCTGGTTTCAAGCCGTGACTGCAAGTAGCTGCATACTCGGGATTTCTTGGGGCGAGGAAAATCTGCGAAGCCTTCCAAAGACATGACTTCTTAGAAATATTCAGAGATCCTCTGTCTGTCTTTTCTCCCTGTTGATTGTGTTTGCGAAGCTAAAGCTGCTTTAGGCAGTTCTGAGAGGGACCACCCAGAAGTGGAAAAAATGGGACTGCTCCTCCTGTTGCCCATCCCGTTCCTGTGAAGGCCACAGAGCGGTCTCTTCAGCTGGCTGCTCGACCTTGGCCTCGAAGGGCACCTTCTTCCCTCCTGCCAGCCGTGTGCTTGGGCTCTGCAGTCCCCGCTGCGTTGCCAAGCGGGGTGAAAGCAAGCACAAGGAACTCGCCATCGCTGCTGTGCTGTAGAAGACCTCAATGGCAGAATGCTGTGTGCTTGCTGCGAAGCAGGCTGAGCAGCGGGGTGGGGGTGGATGCCAAGGAACTAATTTGAAGTAATTAAAATGAGATGTATTTATAGAGCAGCCTGGGTGTTTTCGTCTATCTCTGTTTTTCCATCAGAAACAAAACAGAGCAGCGTACCAGGTTCTTGCCCTTCGGCTGTGTTTCCTTACTGCACCAGATGAACGCAGCAGCGTGCTGGGGAGAGGGCGGGCTTCCCGAACCACCCCATCTGGGTGGGAAGCAGGCAGCACAAGTGCTTTTTTTTCTACATGCCGGCACTACAGACCGTGTGGGCCCTTACTGCCTGTCTTCAGGGCAGCATTTACTTCCATTTTCTACGTGCAGTCTGCTGAAAGCCACTGGGTTTGGTGCAGAGGTGGTGGGGTAAGCTCTGTACAACAGCGGCTGGTGGACGGTGTGACCTAAGTTTTAGATTTTTCAGTGCTGATAATGAAGTACCCAGCTTGTCAGAAACCACGAGCCAGGCACAGTCTTCGACCCAGTAAATCCACAATCGCTGACCAGTGGAAGCTGGACAGCTCTGCCAGGGAAGGATCGTGTTCGTCTCTCCCATTCTTTGCCCAAGCATTCAGTGCCTGTTGCAGGCGGAGGTGGGTGCTGCTCTGGAGCGACCTTTGATCAAACCCAGTGTGGTCGTTCTCGGGATCCAGTGGAGCAGACGGCGCCTGCTCCCTGGCATGCTTTGGCCATCTGTCCCCAGCTGGGGCTGAACAGCTTGTCCTGCCTGCCCTGCCCTTGGAGGACGACTCGGCACCGCTTCAGCTGCAGTGCTGCTGACACCCCTTGTCAACAGTAGGTAATTATCAGTGTAGACAAGATGCTGGAGTCCAGGCTGAGTTTGTGGGGCTGTGAAATTTTAAAATTTCCTTTTTGTAGCAGGAGCCTATTGACCTGAACTCAATGAGATGTGCCCTGGCTTGATCTGGGCACGTCGCTCTGGAGCTGTGGCTGCAGGCCGGTGACCAGGGTTCCTCTCTGTGCCGGTGACAGCAATGCTGCGGAGAAAGGCACCAGCGGCACTCGTGCCGAGTCACGGATATGCTGGGCTAATGCGGTCTCTGATCCTTTCAGGACACCACCATCCCTAAGAGCATTGAGATGTCTTGAGTGAGCGAATGGGACGGTGCAGCCCGTGGTGAGCACACGGGCCCTGCTCCTGCAGGTGCCACAGCAGCCTGGGGGCAGCCCACGTTGGCTTCACGTGCCCTGCTCTCAGGTGCCTGTTCTGACAGCCTGGGCTGAGTCCCCACCCGAGCTGTGAGGTCTGGGGGCGGAGGATGGAGGTGGCAGCCCTCAGGGATGGACACGCTGGGGATGCAAAGAGCTGTCTCGGTGCTGCCATTGCACTGTCTCGCTGGGGAATGTCAGGCAGTGGCTGAAGAAGCCCGGCTCCCCGCGACCGCCGCCAGCCATGTTTGCAGAAGCAAAGGCTGGTGCAGGCTGTGCCGTGTGCTGGGAGCCCCGCAGCGCGTCCCGGCAGAGGCAGGGTGCCTGTCCCTGCAACTGGCACAGGCTCTGCTCAACCCAGGGCTCACTGGTTGGACGGGGGTCCTCCCACTGTGTTTGCAGCCTGGAAAGTCTCTGTGTAGGAATCGTCTGCTACCAGTGTCTGCCCTGGGCTTGTTTCGATGTCCAAGATCTGCCTCTTCCCCCCTCTTCATGCCACCCACATTGACTCCTTCCTTCTCTGGTTGCTGTGCCCTCTTCTCTTGCTGCTTTCATACCCCGGCAGCGAGCTGTGTTTTGGTGCTGGCTGTTCTGTGCTTGATGGCATCTGTATTTCATCCTAAATAACAAGCCTTTAGCAGCCAGGCCTGGGATGTTTTGTATTTCTTGCTCTCTGTATGCATGATGCCAACCTGTCGGCATCGTGTTCCGAGTTGCATGTGCTGTAGGTAACCTGGCTGTCCTTGACTAAGTCTGTGTTCTTAATTAAATTTGCTTCCTTCTTAGGAAATGGCTGATGTGACATTAGATAAGCCTAAACCCAGCCTTTTTCTTTCCAAGGCGCTCCTGGCAATGATTCACTGCTCTTTTTCAGCTTCCTACTTAGTTGCTTACTTAGTGAGAGGACAAGGAAGAGTACATTCCACGCCCCCCCCCGCCTCCAGAATGAACATGATGTAAAATTCCTTTTTCCACACCCTCTTGGCTGGTTGGGGAAGGTTGCATCCAGCCGTGCCTGCGAGGTTCTTGTGGGACCCGCTCCCTGTGCCGGGCACTATGACAGGGATGCAGCAGCAGATGGGTCCTGGGACTGGAATAGCTGTTGCTGCCTGGGGCTG